ATTTACACACTATTAAAAACCGCACATTGTTTGCGACCAAAAGATATTTACTGACACTGACAGTTATTTTAAGGAATAAATTACCAATTAAACTTAAACAATTCACAGATAGTTTAATATTTCTCTATCACTTGTACCAAAGTGTGAAAGCTCCTACGATGGCATTGATAGGATTTCCCATTGGAAGGGGATCCAATCCATTGTCATATCTACGAAGTCTTGGCTTCAACATAATAGCTGAAGTCAAGGCTGAAACACCTCCAAGAAGATGAACTCCAGCGGAGCCTGCGAAGTCGATTGCTCCCATTTTCTTTAAAAATCCATGACTTCCCCACAACCATCCTGCTGGGATACAGTAAGTAACAGTATTGAAAAGTGAAAATACACAATAAGCATTAAAACTGGTTCTCTCAGCCATGGCTCCAGACACAATGGTGGTCGCTGTTGTGGCAAAGGAAAGATGAAAAATGAAAGTAGCAAAAGCAATCCCCATGTCTTCCGGTTCTGCGTCTAGAAAGAAAGAACCAACTCCACAGAATGAGTTTGTCCAGGGACCAGTTCCATACTGTAACCCATAGCCGTACATCCAGTACGTCAGTCCTCCAAGTATAATATCTACGGCATTCTTCATCATTATGTTCACTTCGTTTTTCTTGGTTACTGCTCCAGATTCCAGGAGTCCAAATCCTGGGAACAGAAAATATTGTATCTAATAGCGTTGCTCAGGTGATTTCATCTTTCACAGTAGTAGTTCAAAGGCATTGAAGGTTTTATAACCAGTACAATTATGAAGCTGTATATAAATTATCACCATCTAATTTAACAAGACTTACAGAATAAAAACCTTGATTATAACCAAATTAACTATATCATGTAATTTTAAGCAACATGCAAAACAAGTCAGTTATATGTTTCAAATACATAATTTTTAAACTTGTTTTTTTTACGTCTTCAGTTTGGAAGTAACAAAAAGTAATTAAATAAATTTGGTAAATTTTTACCAAGGCAGATCCAAAGCGTTTTGGAATAAAAAAATATTATAGAAGTTAATTTGTTGCAATTAAAGCCAATATATCCCAAAATTCTAAAGAATTCCCGGAATTTATTTATTCACCTAAAAGTGAGCATTTTCTATCGCTGTATCTTAAATCGTTTTTGATTTGCGAAGAACATAAAATTTTTACACTCTATTTCAGACTTGAAAACCGTTACTACTGCTATCCTTTCCCGACTAATATTTTATTTTATTCTATACAATTGTTCTGTTATTTTCTAGGTGGATCAAAATTCCCCAAATAATTAAATAAAATGATCGGTTCTAAAAATGATCTTAAAACAGTTATGATGTTGTTGTTTTTTAAATGACTGTGCTATAACAAAAAGCAATATAGGAATAAATATGATGGCTTGTATATAGAATATTAGAAGTAGCTTTAGTACTACTCTGTGACCTACATTCAAACGAGCAGTACTAGCAATTACTGAAGAATGTTAACAACTTATCGTTCATAATGAATGTACGTTGTTACAAAAATTATAAGAACCCAGATAGTTTTCAAAACAAGAATCCTATAATGAGTGTTTTATTTTCCGAGTTAATAACTTAAAACATGTAAGTTAAAAAGATGTGGTCAAGCGGTTAACCTGCTGGATTGTGTGTCCGATGGTTCAAGTTTCGCAGAATCGCGCTCCACCCTTTAGGTTCGTGAGTCCGTTAAAAAAAGGACAGTGAAATCCCACTATTCTATTAGAGTGGCCAAAGAGATGGCAATGGGTGCTATTGACTACCTACTTTCCTTCTACAGTGAAATCCCACTATTCTATTAGAGCGGCCAAAGAGATGGCAATGGGTGCTATTGACTACCTACTTTCCTTCTAGACTACCGGTTCAAAATTAGGGACAGCTAACGCAAATAGCTCTTGCACAAACGCTTGAAGCAAACATGCCAAAAACCAAGTAGATTTGACAAAGTAAAATACAAAAAACAGATTGTATTTGTCTAGGTGTTGTGCAGTGGTTGTTTATTTATTATGTTATTTGTAAGTGAATATGTAAAAAATACTTTAATTAAAACAAACAAGATCCTAAAAGCATGTTTGTGATAATTACAAAAGCCCAAAGACGTTTTTTCACTCGAAGTTTCTACGAAATATAATTATGAAAAACTGTAAAAACTGAACTACAGCTGAGATTAGTATGGTTACAAAAACAATATTTTAATGTTTGCTACTAAGACAAAATGATTGGTTATTTAGTTTTGGGAAACATTTATGCTTTAAACTGAGAGTCGACGTTTTTTGTGGTTGCGAATCGTATCTTATTTTCGTATTTTAAACTAGAATCTCTATATTTACTTCTCTGAGGGAGAAAAACTTTAAGCAAACAAAAGTAAAAATCTAACTTACCTGTCTGCATGGTAAAGATAACAAAAGAAGCTGTCAAGATCCAGGTAGCGTCGTCCGAATTAACCGGATCAAGTGTACTGATTTTGGTAGTACCATTTGCCATGTTTTGCTTTATTTTCACTTTCTTTCTCAAAAGGAAAAAGTCTTAAATTAATTTTTTTTTCTGACAAATTATCTTCGTTCAAAGCTTTAGTGCAAAATTATATCTAAAATTAAAATCACACTACTTAACTAAAAGAACAATAATTCGGAAAATTCGAAAAACAGGATAGTTACAATTATTAAAATTCAATGATTCACTAAGTACTAATTTATACTAAATCATTCTGGGTGAACCTGTATCGCGAAGGCTGCAAAGAATTTATGGTTAAGTTCAATAATATTAAATCTTTCTGGTATATTCTGCTGCCGAGTAGTCTGATTCAATGCAGTTCAGTGTTTTGTTGCCTCTTATATTCGTTTCACATGTTTCGAAAAAAAATCGATTATATAGCTCTTCATTTACGAAACGTTAAAACCTCTCATCCAACAGAATGAAAGGTAACTTGAATTTTGCCAATATGACGTAATTGGTACTTGTTTCTAGGATTCTAATTTATTTACAGCGCTATAAACAAAACTTTACTCTTTGTGATTGATTATACATAATGTTGCCCACCAGATGTAGTACACGAAAAGTTCCAATTAAGGTATATTCAATTTGCCTTTCCAGGATTTAACCTTTCACTGTACATAAACTAAATCCGGTATCTCACGAAACAAGTATAGACAGCGTAGCTAATCTTACTAGAACTGAGAGCGGATAAGTGGTTGGCATGTCGGGTCATGGATTTGTGGGTCCAGTATTCGCGTCCAGTTACATGGGGGGATTTCAAGGGTGATGGTAAAATCCTAATATTCGGTCAGACAAGAGTAGCCAAGAATTGGCAATGGACGCTGTTCGAAATTAGTTGAACAAAAACAAAAAAAGATCAAACTGGTCCTTAGTCAGTCAAATGTATAATTTTCTTTAGGGTCATTGGTGTAAGGTTCGAAATGCATTTTGTTCTTTATTATTACTTTTTTATATATCATAACTTTATCAGTCTTTCTTGTGTACAAGAAATGCCGTATTCAATATTCTGACTTAGTACGGCTGTATCTGTTTTTTAGGGGCCCGACATGGCCAGGTGGTTAAGGTGCTCGATTCGCAATCTGCGGGTCGCGGGTCCGATTTCCCATCCCACCAAACATGCTCGCCCTTTCCGCCGTGGGGACGTTATCATGTGACGGTCAATCCCACTATTCGTTGGTAAAAGAGTAGCCCAAGAGTTGGTGGTGGGTGGTGATGACTAACTGCCTTTCCTCTAGTCGTGACGGTCAATCCCACTATTCGTTGGTAAAAGAGTAGCCCAAGAGTTGGTGGTGGGTGGTGATGACTAACTGCCTTTCCTCTAGTCTTACACTGCTAAATTAGGGACGGCTAGCGCAGATATTAAATCATATGACTGGTTACCTGATACGATATTTGTTTTACATAAAAATGAACCCATTGATATTACTTACAAGGCCTATTTTTATAAAACTTTACACATAACCAGTGTTTAATTTTGCCTCTACGAATGAAAATAATTCGTTTAAACTCTCTACCCGTTTTTATAACATACTTATCATTATATTTACTCTTTTAGTTTGTTTTTATCAAGAACTCGTCCAGAAATTAGATAAGTTTGTTTGTACATAAGCACAAACTGTGCCCGTTATGGGTTTGGAAACCCAGTTTTTAATGTTATTAACCTTCAGACCACTGGGAGGCATTAAATAGGTGTTCGTTTTAGGGAAGGCAGCTATTCACCACCACCAACGCTTGGGCTACTATTTTGCCAACAAATAGTGGGATTGACCGTCACACTATAACGCCCCCCCCCCGGCTGAAAGGGCGAGCATTTTGGTGTGACGGGGATTCGAACTCGCGACCCTCAGATTGCGAGTCGAGCGCCTTAACCACCTGGCCATGCCGGGTCTTTTACTTCTACACCTAAATGCATCCATAGGATTAATCTATAGCCTTACTGGCCCGGGAGCCAAGCATAGCCTGGTGGTTAGGGCGCTTGACTCGTAATATGTGAGTCGTGAGTTCTATCCTCTCGCTGAACATGCACAATCTTTCAACCATGGAAGCGTTAAAATGTAACGGCAATTCTCACTTTTCGTTCGGAAATAGTAGCATAATAGGTGGCTGCGGGTAGTCTTGACTAGTTGCCTTCTTTCTAGCTTATCGCTTCTAAGTTAGAGACGGCTAGTGTAGAAATTCAACAAGCAAACAATACTTGAACTTATAGACTAGGAGGAAAACAGTCAACAGCACCCACCGCCAACTCTTTGGGTACTCTTATCAAACAGTGGGATTTGACTGTCACTCTTTAGCGCACTCGCGGTCTCAATGTGCGGAGCGCGATATTTCAACAAAATGACGCGAACGGTCATATTCACAGTCCGAACCACTAAGTTATATAGACAGAATAACACAGAAACTACATAGTATTTTTATATTGTGATTATCTTGAGATAATTACTTGTTTCAACTTCAAGATAAAGTGAAACTTTAGTAAGTTGTGTTGTTAAACTGTGGAGTTACAACGAATGAATTTATACTATTTAATTACTTTGATTTTCCCATAAAATTTGGGGGGGGGTTCATTTGCACAGAAAATTTTGAATTATCTGTCGATTCCAAAATGATTCAGTTACAAGTCCATAATAATAGGAAATGACTGTTTATATATGTATAAATGTATATGTTATATTCTGCATAATGTTTTACGGCGACGTTGCACTAATCTTTATATAAATCACTTTTAGAAATTAAACATCTTTCCGATCGTTGTTTCGCCTCAGCACTTCAACTCAATCTTCTCAGAATGTTAAAGGGTGTGTTGCATCTTTAATTTAAAGATTTGCATCATTTAATTTTTGTTTTAGTAGTCTATCTTATTACTTCTTGAAAACAATATTATTAATTTTTATACATTTTCAAAATTGGGTTATGGTCCAAATCGTTCGACTTTCTTTTAATTTATTCGAGGGGGGGGGAGGTACGAATCAATTGGTAGTGATCACAAACTTACAGGGAATCATTGCTCATTACTTCATTTTCTCTGAACCTGAGAATTACGTTTAATACAAAGGATCTGAGATGATTCGGTGGAAGTAAGATTACGAGTCTTCCCAGTTTTTAGCCTTATTTTTTCGATCATAAACGGTAAAAGAATTAAATTATTTCAATTTCTTTGTATTTCGATGTGGGTGTGATTTCTAGGTTTGTCATTACTCACGCTGCTCCTTTAAATGTTACCTGGAGAATCACTGACAAAGATAGATCACACAGTACAGTGTTCCCTCCCTCTTTGTTACGTTTTCTTCAAATAACCTATCATTGAGCAGTCACTAGAATTCAGGAATTGATAGTTGAAGGCCTATCCAGCCGTGAAAGAGAAAACAAGAAGCTAACTTTTTTATTAGTATTAAAAACTAAATAAGTTTTAAAAAATTTTCGTTGTCTATGGTTATAATACGCGATAAGATAAACGTTATATAATTTAGCAAATGATAAAACTATGTTATTGTCATTTAAACTGTTTCAGAGCTGTTACAGTGTCATTCCATATGGGAAGAAATATCCCAATTTTTCATTTTATAAGTCTGGTAATACCTGGAAGAAGGCAACCTTGAGTTCTCGAAAATGTCAGGTCCTTTGTATTTAAAATGGTGTTTTATTTTATACTTTCTAACATCGTTTTCGTGCCTTAGTTTGGTCGATTTGAACATGAACAAGACTAGATACTTACATGCAATTTATTTCATTGAAGTAAAAGTACCCTCCCCCAGTGACAGGAAAAGTTTAAGTTAAACTAGCAAAAGTACCCGTCTCCGGTGACGGGAAAGTTTAAATTAATCTAGCAAACGTACCCGTCCCCATTGACGGGAAAAAATTAAGCTGATCTAGGAAAAGTACCTGTTCCCTGTGACAGGAAATTTTAAAAGTTAATCTATGAATTTAAATTATTTCATGGACTTTTAAAAAGTTAATTGTGTTGCACTTTTGGTTTCACTCAGAGCCAAAGCTCTAAGCTACTACGTAATTGTTGAGCATTTCAGTCATGCTAAGAGCCGCGCAACAATAATATACCGTAAATCTACATTTTTATGTGAATGATAGTGTGATTAATTCCTACAATTTGGTTTATGATATTCTATTTGTGAAATAGAATTTGGCATCAACATTATTCATGCCGTCATTTCAAAAGTGAATGTTGAGCTCTGAGCTTTGCCTGCGTGCGCAGCTTTTCAAACGCAGCGGAGGAAGCGGCCGCCAAAAACGGGAGACAGATGAACGCTCGGACAAACACCACGATTTGCAATATATATAAGATTTATACTTACGATTGCAAAATATCTAATTGTATATATGATCATTATTCACTTGTGGGTCATAAAGATTTGTTTGTAGTTAAGCAGAAATCTACACAATGGGCTACCTGTGTTGTGCTCGCCACGGGTATCGAAACCCCGGCTTTTAGCGTTATAAGTCATTTAGAACTTTATAGTTTTAAATCCTCAAAATGCTAATTCGACGTCTTTATCATCCAACAAACATCCACGTATTTTATGATTTAATTTGAAGTGAAGAAGACCTTGTTATAAAATGAACCAGATTTTTCTGGATTTAGTAATTTGAAGTGAAGAAGACCTTGTTATAAAATGAACCAGATTTTTCTGGATTTAGTAATTTGAAGTGAAGAAGACCTTGTTATAAAATGAACCAGATTTTTCTGGATTTAGTAATTTGAAGTGAAGAAGACCTTGTTATAAAATAAACCAGATTTTTCTGGATTTAGTAGACTCATGTAAACCGATCTGCAACACTTGTCAACTTCTAAGTTCAGAGTAATCAATAACTGCGATCAATTATCCAGTGATTATCCTGGATGAAATGAAACAAATACAACGATTGTGTAATAAAGGAACATTAAAAATTAAAGATTATTGTAGTGAAGACAAAAACTTCACGAGACAAGAGAAAATTTTGTGATTGTGTTCTAGCGGGTGGTCCTTAACTATAAG